ATGAGAAGCACCCACGTGTAAAGTTGATTGGAGAGAGATCCTTTGATAGTTGGTTGATTGATTATTCTCCTAACAGAATTCCTGCCAGAATTCCCGTGTGGCCGCACGTGGACAACCTGGAATATTCCTTTGGCGTGGGGGGTGACGTGTGGTGTCTTCTTGTGAGATGAATCCTTGCGGATTCTATCTAAGTACATGGCGCCTTATTCTGACCTCAGGGACCACTGAGGTCGATGTCTGAGAGCTCGGGCTCGTGTTGAGAGGATCCGCCCTTTTGCCCTTTGCCCCTGTCCTGGTAATAGTTGACCGCCCGATGCTTGACCATTGTTGACCAAATGTTTGACTTTCTGGGCTTGACTTGGTGCCGACCTCGGGTGCCTCGAGGTCGGGCTCATAACTTGTCGAGTTAAGTTGATTCCTGAGCCCGATGTTCTCCCGACCTCGGGGTCGGGGTATGCTGACTTCGTTATCCACCGGGTTCGACTGATTTCTGAGCCTGGTGTTTTCCCGACCTCGGCGGTCGGGGTCAGTCTCGGACTGTGGACTTGGTGCCTTCGCGCCTCTGATGGAGCCGCAGTGCTTTCTACCGCCGATTATGATACCCATGGGGTGTACGGGAATATACTCCATCAGGCGGGTTAGATAATTTAGAGCTACTCTTCAAGTCCTCAGTGGTAACTGGTAAGCGGAGGCATGCGTCCTAACTCCTGAGAATTGCTACCTAAGTCCTAAGTGCTTAACAAGTATTTTTTAATTTTTAAGTTTTATTATGTTTTTAATTGAAGTTAAAACTTTTCTAAAAAAAAACAAGTTAAAGACTAAATTACAACTTTGCTTGATATATGAATTTGATTATTTTTTGTAAACTTGTAAATTGTAATCATCATTTATAGTTTGAATTTGCTTTTGACTTGTTCTTATTTTTATGTACAAAAAGACATCTTCTTAAAATTTGACAATGATGTCATTATCAAACAATACCAATCTATGAGAACCCGTACAGAACCGTTGTAAAATTATGGTGTTTTCGTATTTGACTTTAATGAAAACTCTTATTCCTATAATTTTATTTTTATCTTTGATTTTGATGCTACCATAAATGTTTTTTTGAACATTCTTTCTTAATTAAATTTGCCCCACCTGGATGTCAAAGCTAGATTCGCCCCTGGCCGTAAGCATGTAACATATATTCTAGTATTTAATAGAATTACCCTTCTATAATACCAAATATTAAGAAAATGCCCATGGAAAATAAAGGATTAACCCAGAAAATACTACACATAGTAAGATGTGTGTCATTTGAAAGGTTGACTTACTCTCTCACATCTACCTCTATATAAAAAGAGGTGGGATTTATGGCTGTTTTCCCGCCCAATATCACGGGTCAAATTCGAGTCGGGCAAAGAAGTCAAGATTGCTGAGCTTGGCTGCAGAGGTGGTCCACACACATTAAATGCTTTTTGGCCTTTAGGTGACAATAAATGAATAAAATAACTCTTGCGTGTTAAAAGAAGGCTAAGCCTGGTTGCACGCCATCTGTGGAAAAGGTGTCAGACTCTTTTTCAATTATTGATATACGCAATCTATTAACAAAAAAGCTTTGTGTACACACTTTAGTACACATTAGTACACACTATAAATAGGAAAAAAATTACTCTTTGTTTTTACCCTCTCTTCCCTCTCCTCTAATCCGCCCCTTCTCCCTTCTCGTACACCCTTCTTCTCTTTCTTCTTTTTCCCGTTTCTTTCCTTCTTCTATGCTCCGCTCCTCTCAAATTCATCTTTCTCTTGCATCGTCTTTGATTCCCTGATAACTCTCCTCTACCAGAAAATCAATACGTGAAGTTCTTCCAGAGGCCGGAATCCACTGCCTTAATGCCTCACTTTAAGGTAATTTTAGGTTTTGTTTCTATATCTCAGATTCCTTTTTTTAAAGATGAAGATTCTTCTTCTTTTCTGTCAATGCAATATAGAGCTTCAATAGGTTTTACTTTTTCTGAAATTCAGTTCTAGTTACGAATTAATCATTAGGTTTGATTATTATTTTTAATTATTATACTTATTTGTGTTCTCTGATTTTAAGTAAATTACACTACATATATGTTATGATGTTGAATTCTTGAATACTTTGTTTCATTGATATAGGGTTTTGATGTTAATTATTGAACTTTTAGTATAACTATTGTATTTGATCTTATAGGTTAAACTATAACTTTTGTTTGTGTGGTTGTTTATACTGTTTGTGTGTTCGTTTATATTGTTTGTGCATGTCTTATCTGTATATCCGTTTATTTTGTTTGTACAAAGAAAATACATAGTAATTGTTTGTGTATAGAAAACAATTGTTTGTGTGCTCATTTATATTGTCTGTGTCTGTTTAAAATATTGTCTGTGTGTTCATTTGTTTTGTCTAAATAAGAAAATACATAAGTCTAAATAAGATTACATTCTGAATATAAGAACATTAATTTTAAAAAGTGACTAATCAAAAATTAAAATTACAAACTTATGTTGACTAATCAAAATAAACAAACACACAAACAATTACTTGAATGCACAAACAAAATAAACGAACACATGAACAATGTTTTAATCATGCACAAACACTATAAATGAATACACAGACGATTATTTTCTAGACATTCATTTATATTGTCTGTGCATGGTTTAAATATTGTCTGTGTGTTCATTTGTTTTGTCTGTCTGAAGAAATTAATGTCTGTGTGTTTTTTTATATTGTCTGTGCATAATTAAGTTATTGTTTGTGTGTTCATTTATTTTGTCTGTGCGTAGTAAATAATTGTTTGTGTTCATTTATATTGTCTGTCACTGATTCATACTCATAATATGGTTTGCTTATCCCTAGTACACAACTAGAGAGTTGGCTTCTGAAAAAATGACAAAAATAAATCATTATTGACATACATGAAACTAAAATCAAATATTATCAACTACTCATACTTATTATTATATGGACTTGCACAAAGGCAAAATAATCCCCCAATACACAACTAATTATGATTATATGGACTTGCACAAAGCCAAGACATTTACCAACAAAACAAGACAATACAAAAAGCGAAGAAGATTAATTTTCAAGCTAAGGTACATCACATTTTCAAGCTAAACAAATAAAGCCTTTGCAGTTAGTATGGTATTTAGCTCGAGGAAACCATCAAGCCATAAACTCTTTTTATTTTTATTAACTTTTTTCAAACAAGTAACTGTATCCAAGCTCAGACAGGTCAAGATTCTTCTCTCAAATCTGTCAATCTGAAAGTGTAAAATGCAAAATTACTAAGGAATAGCTCCATCTATCTTTGTATCTTACAATTCGAGTAACTAACTCCTCAACTCCTTATTTACTATCTATAGACAAAGCCGTTCCACAGCTGGGGCACTCCCAAAATGGGATTTTGATTACTCCTTCCCTCCATGTTTGCCCACGTCTTGGTCTTCAGTCTTCACTGCTTTGTGTGTGAATACAAGAAAGTCCCACAAACAGCAATAGCTGCTCCTAAAGCAATGACAGGCTGAAATTCAAAGGAGTGATCTCATCGTGTATGACACTTGATTGTAGGGATGAGAAAATACACTCTGGGCCAACCTCCACCATATGATATTTGAAGCAGCCTGCAAAAACAAAAACAAAGCACAAAGCAAATTCATAAAAGTCAAATAAAATAGACATGTGGTGAAAATAACCTTTCATTGAGTCATTTCAACAAGCATGTTGTGAACATAAAATGAAATAGAGTAATTGGACTAAAATTTCAATAACTAACATCATAAGTTTCTTACATTGAACAATCCAAAAACCAAGTTCATCTCAAAATATCACATGGGTGAAATTTGCAATTTGATTATGACAAACATAACAAAACAGCTATAACTAAAATTACAACTTCAGGAAACATTCACTAAAACTCCATCCAAACATTTAAGCAAACACGTCATGTGCATAAAAAAGGAATATAATAATTTGACAAAAATTTCAAAATTTAACATCACATACCCATAACAATGAAACCAAATAATCAAACATTCAACTTCAATATAAAATTATTGAGTTCAACATAACAATATACATAAAATCTGAAAAGGTAAATAATCGTAAAAGCAAAAAAAAAACTAAAATAAATCTATACCTTAACATTCAAAGTTTTGAGATTAAAAGAGTGTGCACTATGTGTGAAGAAAAAACACCCGTTATGTTTCATAGGAGTTGAGCTTCGATGGTGTTGGTGGCTGAAAGGGCCCACACTGTTGTGCTCATAGGTCAACCAGCCATTTCTCTTGAGAAAATCATAAGGGAATTTACGGAAGAAAGAAGATGGAGATGAGCTCTGTAAAATTAAGAATTTAATAGAGTTATAGAAGGGAGTGCAGAACAAAGAAAAGAAAACGAATGAAAAAAGAGAAGAAAAAGGGAAAAGAAAGGGAGAAGAGACGAGAGCTTGATACGATGGAAAGAGAGGAGGTTAGAGCCGGAGAGGAGAGGGTGAGAAGAGAAAGGGTAAAAGAGAAAAGGTAAATAAAAATAAACCCTTTTATAGGGTGTACTAATGTGTACAAGAGTGTGTACAAGAAGCAATTTTCATCTATTAAACGCCAACGCACAGTCAAACATTACTAAAACGAAGGTTGAGTGTAAAGTGAGAAATATTGCTAGACTGAAGTACAAATTATAATAGCATTGGATTTTATTAAAACAAAAAACGAAGTATATTTTTCTTATTTGTCTGCAATGAGTTGTCAATTCAAATGTCATGTTATTAACCATCAGATATACATCACCCAAGCTTTTAACAAAATGTAGTATAAATACGGCCAAAGGCACCACACCAACACACAACTTAGCATGGGCGATGAACTGGTGATTGTAGCCTGTTGGGATCTGTGAAGCTCCATGGAATTTCAGTGGACAGAGACACAAGGAGTTCTTTGCTATTATGATGAGGTTATCATTTTCGTTTTAGTTTTTCTTTAATAAAATAAATAGTGTTTGGGTCTTCTTAGTAGTTTCCGTATCAGGTCAACATTGAAGATAATCGACAGTGGGTGGATATTAATGCTCAACGAGGAATCAATGGCAAAGAACTCATTGGTGAGGCTCAATCTATATAATCAATCGCTATCATTTGTATTTTTTGGTAGACAACTCAAAATCAGTTGTCTGTGACAGACAAATTTTTTGTGAAAGACAGACACGTGTACAAATTTTGTGTACAAATTTTGTGTACAAATTTTGTGTACAATTTTGTGTACAATTTTGTGTACAATTTTGTGTACAATTTTGTGTACACCTATGTGTACACCTATGTGTACACCTAACAAAACTCTTTTTGGTATCCTTTTTAACACTTACATAAACACAGATATCTTTGGGAAGACTGACGTGTCTATTTCTCAGACATGGGTCTTTGCTCAATGTTGTTTGACGGGGTAATAGAAAATGTACATTAATAAAAAACTACTCCGTAAGATTTATATCAAAGACGGAAAGACCACTCCATAATGTAGACTATAATCCAGATGTATATATAGTACAATATGCATACATGTCAACTTATTTATGACAAGTATTAGTATTGTCAATCTCATTTTCTTGAGTTTACAATATACAAATATCATTTGATGCTATGCATATTTTAATTTAATAACCTTACAGTCAATTGATTCATTAATGTCCGTCAAAAGCTGCACACACCTCTGATATTTTTACAGATTTGTGTTTTCAAAACGGAAGATCTAAATAGAGTTTAAATAGAGTATATAAATACAAATCATTAAAAAAAAATACGGAGTAATATATAGTCACCCATGAGAAGTGGTTAAAAACTATACATGGCAAAGGTACCAAAGTGAATAGATTGTACCAAAATTATAGATATGAATAGATTGGTTTTTTTTAAAGACGATGAATAGATTGATTTATGCGCTGAAAATAATTCAGGATTATTCAACTATATAAATTTGTTTAATTTTCTCTTTATTTAAAATCACTGTATACGAGAATCATTTAATATATAGCTCAAGCAGAATTTATGGGCAATCAGGATTCAGGCCGGGTGACATCGAACCACTAAACCGCATAGCTATATCATAATAAGTTATTATTGTTCAATGAACAAAAAAAACACAAAAAAAAACACGCAAACTATGGCTAAATTTAAAGATACTCCGCATGATGTATCTGAAAATCATTTAGTATAGCTATTCCAGTATTCCATTCACAGGTAGTTGAAATATTGCCATATTGGATAAGTACATCGTAGTAATTTACCTTGGCCTCCACCTTTACCAGAAAAGAGACATAACATAAGCAAACCAATCTAAAAGCCACAGAAATCAGGACATGACCACAAAATCAAAATAATAATAAAAATATGATTTGACATCCGTTCAAAAAAATTAAAAAAAGGAAAAAAGAAGAGATCCATACAAAGCAGTGGCGTCTTTGGGGGGAGTTACCTAGGCACCATGCCTAGGGCCTCCACCTCTAAAGGGCCTCGTTTTTTTCATCTCTTTTATAAAAAAATGTATATTTAATTAATTAGTTAAGCAAATAAATAAATAAATAAATTGTAATGAAATTGATAATGACATAAATAAATACTAATTATGTACTACCTTTGAGCCACCCAAGTTTGTTAACTTTTTTATTTAGTTGTTAAAAAATATTGAATATCCTTTTTAAAGTAGTGATTTATAATGTCAAATTTATATAGATACGTGAAAAAATCCTACTGGTTAATTTATATTCTCATATTATTAAATTTAGAGATTTTTAATGTTTTTCATTAAATAATAAGAAAGTGATTATAATGTACTAAAGCAATTATAATTGATTATAATATTTATTTTATCTTGAAATTTATATCTTTCTCGTTAAAAATCTTTGTTGAAACTTAAAAGGAGAGATTATTGTATTATTTATTCTTATTAATGTGCTAATTGTTATAAAATGCAGAAGTACTTAGACTACAAACAATTTGATAATGTTTTGTATTGAGAAAAGGGATAATTTCAGTACACATAAAACTATTATTCCCACCCCACAGAATATGTTCAAATTCTAGTTATTATATTTGTGTGAAATTTATAAATTTACTTTTATGAAAATAATTTTAACAAATGAGCGTTTTCATGTAATTAACTTTCATATTTTAAATAGTTTTGATTTTAAAAATATAATGGTTAAAACTTGACCATCATTGAAAAAGTATACAATAACATTGAAACATTAATAATCATTTGTCAAATCGGTGCAACTATTCTGTTTATTAGTTTTGTTTGTATACCTTTTACGGTGTTTTAATTTTTTGCCTGGGGCCTCAAATTCTCCGAGGACGCCCCTGATACAAAGAGCGGGTAATAGACATGGTTTGAGATCGTTGAATCTCTCTTGACCATCTTCAAAATCCCAACGGTCAAATATGGTAACATCTAACAACAAATTGCACTAATGAAAAGAACGAAGGTCGGTAGAGCTCCGATATGAGAGCTCATCGGATGGACCGATGGTCTTCTGAATGTGGTGTAGGGTGAACTGAAATATCTGAAGGGGAATCCTGAATTATATTGGATGCTGTTAGGTTTGTGTTGATGAGTGGATTTTAGTTCTTAGTTATTGGGTTGGGCTGTTATGGGCTCTTTGAAAGGGGTTATAGTTTGTTTTTGAAAGAAATTGGGTACACTTTTTAAAAATACTATCATGGTGTATCGGAATTGGGTATTACGAGAATCATTATTTCAAAAAGTGAATTGGGTAATTATTATTATTATTAGTATTCTTATTGTTCAGTTTATTAATTTAAAATTATTACATTTTATTTTTTTGCAAAGTAACTTTTGTAAGAAGGTTGTTATTTACAAACGAATTTCCCAAATCTATGTTTCGTATATTTCCATTTGTCATATTAAGCTATCTAATTTTAAAATATTCTCTATGCACATCGAATGACTAGAGTTAGGCATAATTACACAATTTTATTCATTTTTAGGATATCATATTTACAAAATGTTTAAGTTAATAGTTAATACTACATATGTCTCCCTAAGATTGGGACAAGAGGGGGTAGTGCGGTTTTTAAAAAATGGAAATGTTTGGTTGATATTGAATTGATAAAGTGTGAATAAAGAAAGAATGAATTACAATCACTCAAATATTATCTGATATGATATGAGACAAATTTCGTGAGATGCACGAAAAGGTAAAATGAGACAAAGTAGAGGGACAAAGGGAGTAATGTTTATCATTAGCATAAGGTTAATAATAATGATAGACAAAATTATGAACAATGGTGGATCATCTAGGTCTCAGAACAACCCAAATTTATAAATGTAATAAATATTAGTGTCAAATATTTCGTGTTAAGATTTTTTTAAAATATCTTTGTATCAACCAAGCCAGTTTGGGCGCCAATCTACAGCACTAGCTGCAAGATCATTGTAATATTTATTCCATCACTTGCAATGGAGTCAAAGACTAACTATTTTTTTGTATGGGAATACGATTAAATAAAGCAAAATGACTCAATCACTGAAGTGTCTGTGCTTCTTTGTGATGAAGCGACAATCGGTCCATGTAATTTTTTGTCACGTTTTTCACTACGAGTCATTCAGAAACAGTCTCTCTGTGCTTTAGTACACGGTAAGCCTGCGTACATCCGACTCCCCCAGCCCCACCGTTGGTGGAAGCCTTTACGGCACTGACGTAATGATGATGATGCTTGCAAAACGTTATTCGCACCCGTTCTAAATCTCAATTGTGTTTTCATTAATTATGTGTAGTATTTCTTTATTATACATTATTACATTTGTACTCTTTTGAAACATTCTTCTAATATATGCAGGGGTTTTGTAGCTTTTAATTATACATTAATTAAAAATGTTTTTTTATAACATTTTTAATTAAAATGTTAACAAATCATATTATATATTTATTACTTAATTTATATTCCGTGCATCGCACGGGTGAAAATCTAGTACGGAGTAAAACATTAGCACAACATACGATCAAGTAGTCTAAGGGTTGTTTTAGACTTTTAGCCTTTCCTCTGCATTTCAGGAAGTCAGAAACACACCGTCAGCCACCTTTTCTTATACACATATTTGGCACCCAAAGCAATTTATGCCCATCAAACTATTCATGTGGAAACTATTTCAAAATATTCTGCCTCTCCTTGAAAACCTCGGCAGATTTATTATTTCTATTTTTCCTTCTCAGTGCCCTTTTTGCAGGACTGATTCGATTACTTCTTCACATTTTTTTTATCATTGTCCAAACATTAAGCCTATTTGGATTACTATATGGACCTTTTCATGATATCAGTTCCTAGATGGTCTACTTCTTACAAACAAATTTGTTTTGCTTGATGGCTTGAGGCGGGTTCCAAGACTCTCAATGACATTTATAAACATGTTTTATTTGCCAGGAATTATCACTTGGCATATTTGGAAAATGTTTGCCTCCTACATTTGGGAAGATGTCCCATCTTCATTAAGTGAATACAAAAAGTTAGTGTTGGAGCGACAATAGCAGCCCTTCTAAGAATAATGGGTTAGGGGCAATTTCACCAAAACCAATATAGGTACTCCTTACAATTGGGGAAATTGGATTTGCACCACCTTGTAACGAAATATCACTGGGAACTTTTGTATCAACGAAATTATCATTATGCCCACGTGCAATCCATCCCCCAAACTCGAATTCCACTTATTAAATACAAGCAGATCGAAAAACCGTGATCATCACTGGAAGAGTTTACTCTCATGCTCTTTGTCAAGTGTAGACCAAAGCAGTCTTTCCGATGTAAGAAGGATTAATTGTGGCATTGACTTTGTCTTAGTCTAGTACTTTTGGTAATTACTGGTAAGATTCGTCTAAAATCTCTCCCAACAACTATAGTTTTTCCTCACAATTGGGCTTTAGGTACACACTCTTCTTACACACTCCTACACACTATAAATACTTTTTTTATTTTTACCATTTCACAATTAATTTTAGCCCTTTTCTCTCCCCACTCCCACCCTACGCCCCTTTCATCCCTTCTGTCCGTTCCTTTCTTTCTCCATTCTCCACCTTTTCTCCAGTTCTCCTCTTTCTTTCTTCTCTTCATTATAAAGAACTCTCTCAATTCCTTAAGATATGAATAGGTACAGAAATTCACAATTGGTATAGAAATTCATGGAGTTTTCTTCTCCTAAAACCTTGTACATATGAGGTATTTATTCCCTTTTTGTGCATTTAAGGTCACAATTGATTTTGTTTTTTTGGATTTATGAATATAATATATGTTGTAATGTTAAATGCTTATTTACATTGCTATATCCTTATAGATTTGTGATGTTAATATTTAAGTTTTTGTTCAACTATTCTATTTTACTTTTATGCTCAAAAGGTGTTTGTTGAAATGTTTCAATGATTTTATTGATCCCTGTTCAACTATCCTATGCAAGATTTGTGATGTTACTTTTATATTTACTTTTTACTTTTTGTTTGTTTTGTCAAATTAGCATGTATGTCTATCATTTGACGTGTTGCCATGTTTACAACCTACTGTGAAGCATGTGTACCCGGCCACTATTGCTCCATGAATGGCACTATGGATTCATTCCAATTGCGTTCTTATTATGTTTGTCACAGTGGAAAATGCATCTTTATTTGCTTTCTTAACTAAAGGAATGGTGATTGATTTTTATTCTTCTTCCTGAAAAGAAAAACATGCTTATATAGCTAGTTTGTGTTGGTGTGTTAGCATAGCCCTTTGTGTTGATCAGTTGATGTGTGAAATTCTGTCATGCAGGAATGGAAGATTTAAAGCACAACAATGACATCCAAGCTTTAGTCTCAAAAGATTTAGTTTAAAGCACATGATAACTAAATATTTAATGAAATAATTACATATATATGATCAGAGTAAAGATGAATTACAAAAATATGACTAGTTACTAGAGTAGTAATGAAATCATAGTAACTCATGGTCAAATTTTGAACTTAATTTGTCACAACATTACGTTGTAGTAATGAATAGTCATATTTATGTAGATAAGTTTTATTTTAGTAATATTCTTGTAAAAAACCCTTTAATTTTAAATATGTATCTCACATGTTATGTGATGGAGTATATGGTCCGGGAACCCCCGGCCCACAGACTCCTACTACTCCAACACAGGCCCAACAGGCCCAAAGCACAGCGGCCCAAGCGTCAAGAAGCCCACGGTGCGCATACGGGGTGCCTTCGGCACCATGGCCGAAGGCTCCAGGTCTCACAGGACGGCCAGTTTTGAGCATACAAAGCTACTGGGAGAAAATGGCAGAAATCAAGAGCCTTCGGCACCTCCGTGCCCTTGGCACCGAAGGAGCCTTCGGCCACCCCAAGCCCTCGGCTGTCCAGAGCCTTCGGCCACAGGGAAGCCTTCGGCTAACAGCTCAATCATCGAAGATTCCCTTTGGAGACAAGCAACCACCACACTTAATGCGGCGTCGCGTCTAACCACCGCATTTAATGCGGTGCACATGTGAGTGCCGGTGCCACCCCGATCGAGGTGACCCCTCGGCCGTCGGATTACTGACATGTGTACTCTCATCGCATTTATTGCTGCTATAAATAGCAACCCCTATTCCTCTTTTAAAGGACCAGAACATCTCGAGTTCATTAATACAATCGCCTCTCTCTCTCTCCTACTTGTTTGCTCTGACTTCTCTCTAGGTTATTCTCATAATAATCCCCGGATAGGCTACCCCCCGGGGTACACTATCCATCATTATGAAAATGAGTATGACTTCGACATTATTGAGAATGTGATGTTAATTTGCCACACAGACAATACAAATGAACACATAAACAATTATTTTCTATGCACAGGCAAAATAAAGAATACATGGACAATGTTTTAAGCATTCACAAACAATATAAATGGAAGCACCCCACAAGCGACCGGTGAGCATGGAAATGGACAGGGGATCCTAATGACATGATTAATTGCAGTGCTTTAGATTTAAATCTTAGTTTGATGTAAATGTGCATGCATGTATTTTCATAGACATTTATGTATTAAGAAACAAACAAAGTCTTTGGTCTTCAAAGACACAAAATGTGTTTTTGGGAGATATTAATGTTTTGCCTACACATATACGTATTTACACGTTTTTTGAAAGTCGACGTTTTTTAAAACGAAATTTTGACCGTTTTTTATTCATGTTACCGAACTAAATGCTTCAAAAAACAAAGAATCTCGTTTAATTCCCGTATCATACTTAACTAACTAGGCAATGAATTCATACACTAGTAGTTTTTAAACAACTAGTTATTTAAATAAACAAGCCAAGTTTTTTAAATTAAACTAATAATATGTAATAAATATAATAAATGTAATCAAAGTCAAGTTTACACATGGGCTCCAGTGGTAATCAAAGTAATAAATGTTTTAGTTATTAAATTACATAAAGTAGTTATTAAAAATATCTTAAGTGGAGGTAAGAGCGCATACATAGCACAGACAACTATGACACAAAGCACATACAAAGTCGTATTATAGCACAGACAAGGTTTTTCTTCTTCATAGGCAAAGATATCCTCCGTATATATTAACACCATAAAAAGTAAGTGTTTGCCACAAAAATGAAAAGGCATACCAAATTATTGAATATTTAGGAGTACATTCTACGGCATTGTACAACATTGTTAGTGTAACATTGTACAGCCTCCTACATTTAACAACTAAACACATCCAACACTAAACATGGATTCCCAAAGTAGTCTAAGTGGATCGCTTCCTCAAAGTCCAGTGCCTCATTGCGAATTCACATCTTTTCGCTGACATGTTCTCATATGCACACTCGGGCTGCAATGGCAAGTTCTGCAACTGTGACTCATGCACCAGATGCAAAGGCCATTACCATCACACTGCAAACACTGGATCTCGACATAAAAGATTTCATACGGACATTACATTTACATGCACAGATATATGTTAAATCACACAGACAAGCATTCAGTTAGATACAAACAAAAAATCATTCACACAGACATATGTACAAAAACTTAAGTTTAAACTTTTAATTTGTCATTACAGACCTACAAGGGATGACTTTTGCAAACATGAACAACACAATTGGGCACAAAACGTTTGTTAACCAGAAAAGTAGAAAACATATAAAATATTATGTTAGAATTTCAAAACTTTATTTGTCATAACTTCATAGGTCATACTTTAAGAAACATGCTTCAAGTGTTACAAAGTAACATATAATCAATGTGAGAATTTCATTTTTAATAAAACTACATAGTAAATAACTTCATAAATATAATTGTAATGAAACATAGTGACACCAACGTATTGTTATCTCTAAGATAATGAGATCTGCATTACTAAAATGTCATACATAGGAGTCTTGTAGAGTTTTGTCTACTATTAAGAATTTTTATCCACAAGAAGTTTCTTTCCGGGTTATCAATTTTTTATGATAGCCTGTTTTTTTCTTTGTATTTTAAGTCCTAAATGGTTAATGGACTTTTATATAAAATTGTTGGTAACAACTCTCATATATATTAATGTTTATTTACTCTTTGGATGCACTGCTTGTTAGCCTAATTTGTTCCTATCCCTTACGATTTCCTATTAGGAAGAAATTGAAAAAGTAATCTTTGTGAAGATGCTTGCGCACGCACTTTAACACAATAAGAAATAAGAAATACGGATCTAATGACATGAATTAGAAAAATCAATTTCCAAAAAAGTCGTTTTTGCCATAATACGATTGTTAGTGAACACATTTCTACCATAAACTTGGCGATATCTAGAAGCCATCATTCGAAATTGCGGAAAATCGTTTTTTTAGACAATTACTATAAGTTTGTTTTTACCAATCTCTTACATCATTTTTATTCCAGCCAATGCATAATTCTTTATTTCATTGTTTCTCGCCTTAAAGTCTATAACAAATTATATAAATAATAATACGTAGTATATCATATAAACTATACATTAACATTAATATATTGATATGCACTAGTTTATAGTGCATAAGTGTATGTTTTTATATTGATCTTGTGTGAACTTTCCATCACTTTTAGTTAGTTTGTAAGTATTTGTTTTATTTTAGTCGTAATTGTTTTTACCTTCTATTTCTAGCTATAGAATAGTGATAGAGTTTTTAGCAAGCAAAAGGGAAGAAAAGCTGAAGACAAAAATGCTCAGGAACACAAACCCGACCGGGTCAGACCTTGAAACCCGGTCGGGTCAGGATCTAAGAGGAAAGAATACGACCCGGTCGGGTCCCTTACTCGACCCGGTCGGGTCAGATTTGACCCGGAGCACCAGAACATGCTGCAGATCACAAAGATTGGAAAAGATCTGATTTTGACCAAACCCGGTCGGGTCCCTTACTTGACCCGGTCGGGTCTGACTTGACCCGGACAATTTAACGTGCTGAAAACACAAAAACGTGGGAGATAATCTGATTTTGACCGGTACCCGGTCGGGTATGTACCTATACCCGGTCGGGTACCCGGCCAAAGGTGTTGAAAAACACCTATAAATAGCACACTTTTTCTTCACAAAAGATCATCCCTTCTTCCATATACTTAAGCTCAGTTTAGAATAGCATTTCTTTATATTTATTTTAGCATGTTTAGTCTCCAAATGAGGAGCTAAACTTCCAATTCTTGGTTTTGCTCTTGAAGCTTGTTGATTATTAAAGTTGTGAGTTATTTTCTTACTTTCTCCTCTTGATTATTAATTCTTCCCTTAATCTCATTCTATATTAATGTTGGAGGGTGGCTAAGTGACGATTAGTTAACGTTCCAACATTGATTATTACTAGAAACGATCAACGAACCGATGGTTAAACGTTGATGGTTTCACAAGTAAGTAACTTCGGTTTATTAATGCACGGTCGTGGTTAATAAACTTAAGAGGGATTAATTTTGTTGGTTAAACCGAAACCGTTGTGTTGAGGTTATCAATCTTAATTGATTTCATCTAGGAGTTAAAGAGGTTAAATGCTACTATTATATCGGTATATGGCGTTGTTCTATATTTGATTAATAGTAAGGGTTATTAATGAACGGTCGTTGTTAATAACTACTCTCGATGAATTGGATATACTCCTCGATTGAGTATTCGAGAGGGGATAAGTTATAGATATAACAATGATCGACTAAAATACATCAACAAGTGGAAAGTAGCAAGACCAAGTCCCTTTTATTCTTGAATTTAATCCCATATAACTCGTTCATCTTCGTGTTTAATTAAATTAAATCACTCAACAATCAAAACCCCCCTGTTATTTACTCCTTTCATTAAAAAGATAAATTATTTCTTTCCCTGTGGATACGAACTTTACTTCACCTATACTACGTATAAGTGCTAGTATCGATTTATTTTGAGTGCACTCACGACAAAGTGCACGTCAAATTTGGCGCCGTTGCCGGGGAAAGGCAATTGATTTTTCTTTTTATTTCAATTTAAGAAAAAGGAAAAAAAATAGTTTCAAGTATAAAGGTTTCTATTTCTGCTGAGCTTTATAGTACATGGTAAAATATCGTTCACTGAACGAAATCACATACCACTCAAACCCCGAAATAGAACGAACTCTCGAGCGGTTGAAAAACAAATTTTCAAACTCCGACTCGGGAGAATCATCAAGCGCTAGTTCTCAATCTAGCGAAACCGAAGAGCCAATCACTATGGCTCATGAAACAAGAACATTGAGGGAGCTCACGTCTCCGAATCTAAATCAACAACCCCTATGTATCACTTTTCCAACTCTTGATACGGGGGTCACATTTGAGCTAAAATCTGGGCTCATTCATCTACTTCCCTCTTTCCATGGCCTACGGGGGGAAGATCCTAACAAACATCTATCGGAATTCCATATTGTGTGCACGAGCATGTGCCCCAATGGTGTATCCGAGGAGCAAATAAAGCTAAGGGCCTTCCCATTTTCTTTAAAAGACACCGCGAAGGATTGGCTTTTCTACCTTCCTTCGGGTAGCATCAACACATGGGCTCAAATGAAAAAGAGCTTCCTCGACAGGTATTATCCCGCATCTATCTCTTCAAGTCTCAAAAAACAAATCAGCAACATTGAGCAAGCAGATGATGAGACCTTGTACGAATATTGGGAGCGCTTTAAGAAATTATGCGCTAGTTGCCCATATCATGGATATTCGGAACAAGATCTCATCCTCTACTTCTATGATGGGCTTGTTGATCAAGATAGACGCATGGTAAATGCGGCATGTGGAGGGGGTATTGTTAACAAAACCCCTTCTCAAGCAAGAGACCTCATCTCCGAGTTGGCCGAAAACTCGAGACATTACAATGGGAGGTCATCATCAAAACGAGTTATGGCGGTGGAATCCAACAACTCGTTAGAAAGTCAAGTGAATGGCTTGACAAGTCAAGTGACCGGCTTGACTTCTTTGGTAAAAGATTTTCTTTTGAATCCCAAAACCCAAGAAGTCAAGGTCTGCGGTATATGCTCGACACAAGGGCACCCCACCGACTCCTGCCCAACATTACAAGAGGAGAACCCCGAGCAAGTCAATGCTTTGGGTTTCCAAGGTCAAAGGAGATATGATCCTCACGGCAACACTTACAATCCGGGGTGGTGGGATCATCCAAATTTAAGGTACGGAAACTCTCAACCTCCTCAACAATCAA